GATTACACGGTTGCCAACTCTGGGTTGGGAAATACCTATAGATATGAGGGGGTAGAGCCTGGGGAGGGCAGGATTTGGGGTGGGGAGGGACCTCAGTAGGGTATAATGCCATGGAATCCACTCCCGTAAGCAGTCATTGTCTCCAGGAGAACTGATCTTGGTCAGCTGGATATCAGTTTTAATAGCTGGAGATCTCCAGGTGCTGCCTGGAGGTTGGCTTATATTAATTTGGGGCTATGCAGTCGCAGCTAAGGTAGAAAAGCACCTCCTCCAGTGCCATGTTTTCTGTGTTCCAAGGGTCTGGAAAGTGGTACCATAGCCGATTACACAGCTGCCAACTCTGGGTTGAGAACTGATCTGGGTCATCTGGACATCAGTTTTAATAGCTGAAGTCCTGACTGCTACGTCACATTGGCTGTCATACAGGGGCTGTCATACAGCAGGATATAAGGACACAGAGTCCACCATTTTCTCCAGGGGAACTGATCTCTGCCATCTGGAATGCAGTTGTAATTCTGAGTGATCTTTAGCCCTCACCTGGAGATTTGCAACCATGGTTTCCCCCAACGGACACTAAGGGGAAATTTATTTTACCTCAGAACATCAACAGCAAACTGTTTAGAATGTTAGAGGGAAAGGCCAGTGAGGCCGCATATGCAAACGACCTCTGTGTTCCGAGGCAAAGGCGAATCAGGCCACATATGCAAATGACCTCTGTGTTCTGACTGGCTGTCGGGGGGAGAGGATCAGCAAACTGTTTAGAATATTGGAGGCAGGACTCAGGCAAAGCAGCCAGTGGATAGGGAGACCCTCTGAATGACAGAGCAGAGAGCGAACTGATTTTGGAGCATGTTGGAATGTTCAGGGGAGTCCATGACCAAAATAGAATTATATATACCGGAGGATAGGTCTTCTGCAAGTTATCAGTAAAACAGGAAGCAGCAGCAGTCTGACAAATTATTGGCTTGACTTGGATACAGCTCTTCAGTATGAAATGGTAAGTATATAAGCACATGACTCTGCCTTACACTGAGTCAGACCATTAGTCTATCAAGTTTAGTACTGTCTACTGTTTGGCATCAGCTCTCCATGGTCTCAAGTAGAAATCTTTCATTTTCGTTTTTCAACTGGAGATACCAGAGGCTGAACCCAGGACCTTCTCAATGCAGAGCAGATGCTCTACCACTGAGCTATGGCCCCCTTCTCTATAGCACAATACAAGCTAATTCTTCTGAAGGAATTGTTAACAAAGTTTATCTACTGCAGACACTCAAAGCAGCACAGTGGTGCTGGTCTTCACAAGGTGGCCTCACACTCCATGCTTAGACCTCCAAGGCTGCCTGCATTTATTGTAGCAACACTATCCCAAATCTAGGAGTACAAACCTAAACTGCTGCAAATACTTTAAATCACTCTCAAAGTGGGGGTGGGGAATTCTGCAAAAAAAGAGGGGGGGGCAAAATGCAAGCTCTGAAAGTATGAATGTAACTTTAAGCTTCTCTAACATTTGGCAGTATATTATCGATCATTTTTATTCATAACCAAGAAGCACAGAAGGAAAGAAACCTAAAGACAATTTAACCTCTACAAGAAAGAATCAGATAAATACAGGCCATACCAGTGCAGTTAAAACACAGAGCACAGCCCTAGGTATGATCAAAGCCATCTTATCTGATCCAATCTTATCGCCTGCCTGGATTCAAAGAAAACCATATCCCCTGTGTGTTTGGGTATTGTTATCAAAAGGAATCTAACTTGGAAACACAGATTAAATAGAGGGGGAGATTGCTACCAGAAGGGTATTTGTGTTAGTTATGTGATACCTGAAAAACGAATAAAATAATTGTGGCGTAAGCTCCCTCATTTCATCAGGTGTACAAAATTTGTCTGCCAATAACATCTCACCTCTAATAAGGCACAACAGTGAACCATTTATATCATTCTTGAGGATAACACTAACTCAACATGTCTAAAAGGGACTGGACCCACCTGCCAACATGCACTGAAAATGCTGAAGTTGCCAAAAAAAAAACACCAGCTAGTGAAAAATGTCTGATTTTTTTCATCAGTATAGAAGCAAAGATGTTAAGTCTCCTGGGAATCCTTTTGTATTTGAGAAAGCATAGTAATACAATTAGAAAAGCCAAAATTAACTCAACAATCTAAGCAACTACATTCCAAACTTAGCAACTTTCCTCAAATTATGTTGCTTTTAGAAAATTGTTATTCCATATTTTACTGGGGGGGTTAAAGTAAGTATATTACAGGTATGATAAATTTAAATGGTCCTTTATAATTTAGAGCCTCCAGGTATTTTTGACAACGAGATAAGTTTTGTGGAAGGCAGATTTGCTCCACCCTGTTTGCAAAAGACATAGGCCCAGAAACCAACTTGCATCTCTTCATGACCACAGTGAACCGCTACCTAAAATGTAATGCCAGGTACTGTAGATAAGCTCTGAGTTGATGTATTCTCACTGCAAGGCCCTATGGGCTGTGAGGGGGGTGCAGAGGAAAACCGACATAGGCGGACTGGAGAGGCAGCAGTGCACCACTGGGCAGATGCTCCAATGATGCTTGACTGCTACAGACAAGGTTGTTTTGCCATGCTGAAGCCACAATGGAGTGGCTCTGCCCAATCCCCCCAAGACATCCTCCCTAGCATCACGGGCCGCATAAGAGCCCTGGACGGGCCGGATCCGGCCCCCGGGCCTTATGTTTGACACCCTTGATATTAAGAGTACCAAAAGCATCATATTAAGGCTACCAAAAGCAATAACTAGACACATGGTTCACATGCACACACTCTATACCCCACAACTGTCTAACCCTAGCAAATAAATGAACTTCCACATACAACTGTTAGCACCACAGTGGTAAAAAAACCAACTTAAATATGTATATGAAATACACAGATATATATCTTCGGCTCAATACCCAGAGCCTTACCTCAATATGTATGAAAATCCACTGCGGGTTATTAGACTGTATTAAGTATTATGACCTTATTTTATTTCATGCACTCCCTAATCCAGCTAAGGAAATCTATGAATATATCACTTGGCTGGGTCAGGAAATGCAGGTATAACTCATGCATTCAAACACATCTAAGTTACTCTAAGAGGATAAATATTTAGATATGTTTTTGCAATCTAATACCTTTTCATCATGCCTTCTTAATCATGGCTAGTTTTTCTCCCCCATCATTTCTAGTTCTACCAGGATGCTTACACATTGAGGCTGGTATGTTTCAGGGCTAGCATATCTAACAGTCCCAACCTCTTTTTTTAAATAACCAAACAACACAGAGAACATTTGAAGGGGGGTAGTGCAGAGAAGTTCAGGTAGCAGATACTTATTCTTTCCCCCACTTGCCATTTCTCTGTTCCAGATAATAAGCTGTTTCCCCTGCAGGGTTTAAAATGTGCATTTAGCTTTTACACCCTGCTGGTATTTAAAAAAAGGAAGGGACAATCTGGATCGGCAAAAGGGTTAATCATCCTCCACCTGATATTGTTTCACTCCTCAAAAAACTTCCTCATAAGCCTTTTTTTTTTTTAGGAAAAATGTCAACAGGATTCTGGTACATACAGTTGCTCATCATATACAATTATATGTTTATGAGTGTTCATTGTCCATTACAGATGTACAGGTAAAATAAATAACAGCATAACTTATTTTGACAGCTCTCATACATTGTGCCAACACTTCTATGTTCTTCTTCACAGTTACTATTTCATAATCAACATATGTTGTGGCAAGTTCTTATGTGCCATTATTAAACACCAGAAGAACAAAACCAAACCCTGGTTGATTCTCTCTTCATCTACAAAAAGGACCATCCACATATGACCAACAGCAGAGAAAAGTCTTAGCACCTTAGGATACCAAAAACTGTAGTTCGCCCAATTTAGGAAACCTATATGCATCAAAAAATAAATTACATTATCTAGTGTTTTCATTATGGGCATATGCCTTAAAATTCAGAGATTTGTTACCATTTGCAGGGAAATCTCAGCAGACTGCATCAGGGCAATAACAGATGGGCAACCCAATCCTCAAAACATTTGAAGAGGAGAGAGCCAAAAACAGCAGCACAGTCTATTTTCCCACATTCTCCCGCCTACCTACATTTATTATGGTTAAATTTGGTTACTGTTATCATTCATGCTGGGATCCTTTTAATATATTATGAATTAGACATTATGACAAAGTAAGAAACAAACCTCACTGCAAATCTTTGGCAGTTTGTCAAAGTTCCAGTGGTTGCAGAAGCTTATTTGGTTTTAGAGCAGGAAAACAATTTCCCCCAAAATATTTAAGTGATGGGTAGAACTGAAATAACAATTCGTTCAAATCCGCACTCTTGCCATGGAAGCTTGCTAGCTGATCTCAGGCCAGTTACAGACCTTCAAACTAGCCTACCTTACAAGATGGTTGTGAGGATAAAACAACAATACAGGACACTTTGGGTCCCTCCCAATGGAAATAAACAGTAAATAAATATTACTGTTGTTAAATAAAACACTCTTGAAGACTAGAACTTGTCCTTGTTAAATAATTAAGCCAATACAAGTGAAGGTATATTCTTTGCTCTGTCTACTCTCATCCGGTTCTCAGCAGCAATCTTGAACATATGAGCATTTGACAGCCATCAGATCGCTCAAAGAGCTCTAGTCTTCCTTGGAGTAATATAACGCAACGAGAGCAGGCCATCTAAAGGAGTATGTAGTATTTTAAAGAATATTAAGCACCAAGTCACATCGCAGACGAAAGGGTAAAGGAATCCAGACCAGAAGAGACCTCCAGAAAGCCAAGAGGGCAAGCCAATCTGTAGTGTGTATGCAAGGGTTTTGTGCATATCTGTGTTGACCCCATCTAATTTGCAAGTTTCCCCAGGCGGTTCTTTCTGCTCCCATCCTCTCTCTCTGCCTCCCCCCCCCCCCATTTCTGCAGCTTGGAAACATGAGCAAATAAAAGGGGGGGGGGGGTTGTCTCACCTGAGAAAGCTGCCTGGGGTTGGGGCAACCGAAGAGCGCGGAACTGGAGCTGAAGCTGATGGCCCCTCTGCGGCTGAGGACATGCTGCGGGACCGGCCTGTCCAGGGGCAGCACCGGCAGTTGGTAACATACTTCCATTGAAACGGAGGCAGCACCGCCGCCGCCACCTCGCCTCCTGGGGTGCCCACAAAAGCCAGGCCGAGGCCCGGCACACCGCCCTCACCTGTCCCGGAGCTGGAAATGGGGCAGGATGGGCAGCGGGTCCCCACACGGCAGCGGGCGAGCTTTTTTTCTTCCCCGACCCACCCCACTCCACGGGCTCCAATGCAGGCACGGGAAAGGCTGAGGGGCGAAACAAGTCTCGAGAAAGGAAGAGGGGAAGGAAGAAGAAGAAACGGCGACTCTTCGGCTTGGGTCTCCCCAGTCAGCTCCGCAGCCGGTACGGCCGCATGCCGCCGCTCATGGGCGTCGGTGAACGGGCCCAGGTGGCTGCGAACTGCGGCGTCGGGCTGCTTTGGGTGAGACACACACACGCTCCCTGCCTCTCTCGCTCGGCTGCGGCAGCCCCGCTATTGTCCGGCACGAGGCGCGGCCCCGCGCGCGAGGGGAGGGGCCAGGTAGTGGCTGTGCAGGAGGCGCCGGAAGAGGGCGAGGCTCGAAGGGCCGGGGGGGGGGGGGGGGAGAGAGAAAGGAGAGCTGCGCGTGCAGGGGTCCGCCTTGGCCCCTCCCGCCCTCAAAGCAGCACAGCCCCCAAGGGAGCAACGCTCGCCCCGAGAGGAGGCACGAGCCGGGGCGGGCCTGCGCGCGGCGGGAACGGCGACGAGCCCTGCGTCGTGACGTAAGAGCCTCCTTCATTCTTTCCTCTCACCGAGGGGGAAGTGGTAGGTAGGAGGGTTCGAGGCATCTCCGCATGAACTTCTTTCTTTTACAAACAGGCTTTCCCCCCTTCCTCCAGCAGCTGGCGAGTGGGGCAAGTATTCTGTGGCTCGCCTTCTTCAGTTCTGACCCTGGGAAGGAAGGAAGGATGGCTGGGTAGAGAACGCGCTTTTGTCTCATCGCCCAGTCGTGGCTCTTGCCTCCTTTAAAAACTTGCCTCAGGACCTTTTCCGGTAGTATCTGTTGAAAGAGGCGGTTGCCCACCCCAGACATACTCGCCTGGCGCCCGTTTTACTGTCCCTTAGGCGCCAGGTGAAAGCTCCTCTATGCTTTTGACGGCGGGGTATAATTACTGCCCATCATGGTGTTTATCTTTTATGGAGGCCGACGCTGCTCTTCGGTTGGTTTCAGTTTGTTGTGTTCTGTGTGTTACTCTTTATTTTAACTTTGTGTGTTAACCAGCCCATTGGTTGAAAGGCTGGGGTATAAGGTTTTTTAATAAATACGGTTCCCTAAGGAAGCTAATGCAAGTACCATAGTGCTTTGTGGGTTGGGGGTGTTGGAGGGATTGTTTGCTGTTTGGCACATCAAATGTCTCAGATCCTAACCTGAACCACCTTTGCTACACCTTAACTGTACCTCACTGCCTCTTCGCTAACCCCTAACCCATCCAGAACACATCTTGTCTGTTCCTAATGGTTTCCTGAATGTACAGATTTTCTATTGATGGCAGGTGATCAGTTTTTGCTGTTTTTTTAAAGATCAGGATCACTGAAGGTGCTCTGATAGAGGCCTCACTGAGTGTAGTGTTTATATGCCTCGTTACTGTTGCCTTTCGGAGTGAGTCAGACACTTGCAGAATTTGGTTGACCAAAGAAGATTAGTAGGAGAAAAGAAATTTGTGTACAAGCTACAGAAAGCAATAGCCTCTGTCATTCTCCCTTCAGCTCTCTCATGTGTCTCCATCCTTGTACTGCAAAGTGTAAGCCTTCTGCACTGCTTCTGTGCCACATCCTCGTGGGTCATAGGAAGCATATTACTCCCATCTTAACCATCTACACTCATGTCCAATCAAATATGATGACCTGTAAAGCTCTTGGAACCAGTATACCTTGAGGACTACTTATTCCTGTACAAACCTGCTTGAGCGCTACAGTAATCTCCAAGGCCTTGTTTAGGGTGCTCATGTTTTTTGAGGTTAACCTGAGAAAGTGCCTTCTCTATCATGACACCAAAGTTATGGAACTCCCTCCCCAAAGATATTCATCTGCCCTTTTCTATCACTGCCTTTCCACTAGTGGGTTACGACTTGGGGGGAGGGTCTGGTGTTCTTGCAGTGACCTTCCTTCCTGCCCTATGTTTCAATAGCTGACATTGAGTTTATGTATTTTAGTTTTTGTTTTAACTGATTGTAATTTTATAATGTATTATTATTTGGGGGAAGAGCAGGATATAAATTTTGTAAAAATAATAAAATAAATTAGTTTCACTGTAATATGTTTCTGTCTTTTATACCATTTCCTGAAAAGCTTCTGAGAGTCACTGGAGTCCCTGGAAGTATTTGGTTAATTGTTAGGGAGATCAAAGCTCCTAGCTTTGACATGCAGAAAGAGAGAACATTGATGAATCTATGAGATGATGAAATTCTAAACAGGGCTGGATTCCACACAAACTGGAGGGCCTAGGATACCAGGCCTGCAGGCTGAAACGATCACATTCGGTCTCTGGGTGGGAACTGATGCCCTAGATATCATATCTCAGTCCTTTATTTATTATTTTGGGAGTTTCTTCAAAAGCACTCCACACCCATCCACAATGGAATTTGATAATATCTGCACAAGAAACAGAATGTTCCCAGTAGGTGGTCCAAAACTATGGACCATGATCCTACAGGAACCTTTAAAAATGCCAACCTTTTCCAATCCATTGTTTTTCAGAGTAGGAGACCTTAGAGGCATGCAAACATGACATCTCTAAAAAACAAGGTTGAAAGAAATAACATGCCTCTGGAGGGCGGATGAGTGAATCAGAGAAAAAGATATCCCCTCCTAATAGAGCTGAACCCGTAATTTTTTTCCTCAGTTAGGTAATATCCAATTCCTTGGGTTTTTTATGTTTACTGATTCTAGCAATGGCACTAATGAACTGCTGGCTGTCAATCAGACTAAGACAAATACTGAATCACTAGTGCATTACATACTTACTATTTTTTATCCTGTTTTTCTGCCAAAACTTAGTCCCTAAAGCAGCTTAAATCAAATCCATTTATAATCAGTACAGATCTTAATTAAAATATCATTTATAAGGTGGTTATGGAGGGGCTTCTCATTGTAGGCACTATGTAAGGCTGCTTTCCCTTCTCCTTCTGGCCAGAAGGACAGCAATTGACAACTGGGAGAAAAATGCTACAAATTGAAGCTGCACTCCAACATAGTGTGTTTGGCTGCTTCCTGTTGTCCCTCTTAAGAGTGCAGTAAATTGTGTTAGTAGTGTGAGTAACATGAAAGTCATGTGTCTGAATATACTACACAATAACAGTGTACTGTAGAGTAGGATTCCGGGGGGGGGGGGCAAACAAAATGCAACAGCAGCATGGTGTGGTTCCCTCCCAGTGACTCATTGCCTTCCCTCCTGGTGGAATGCTAATTCTGTGGGAACCACTAATGCAATCAGCCCCCAGTAATGTGCTGTTCACAAGTGCATCCTTGCACTGTGTGATCCCATCATGCTGGAATTGTTGTCATCCTCCTGTGTATATATAGAAAGGGTACCTATATTGCACTTATACCGTCCTTCCAAACAGTACTCACATGACAGACTAACATATATTTCACACTGGAGGGGGGGAAACTTCCCTGAAGAAACATGAGTAATGGAAAGGACCAAAAAGCACTAAGCCCATGAAATTTTATCCACTTCCTGCTTCTCCTACCAAAACAATAGCTCAGGTGGAGCAGTTGAGAGTCAAAATTGCACAATGGAAGGCTTGAAGGGTATTTGGGAAGGGGGAAAAAGTTCACTCAGGGCTCCAAATAATATTTCCTTGTAATTTGAGAGTGTTGTGATGAGGGAACAGGATGCTTCAACTGCTCAAGGCCCTCTTCTCTACTATCCTTCATTTACTATTCCTTGCCAAGGCTATGCCTATCACTTTGTATCCCATTTCAAACAGGACTCTGGCTCTGTAGGGGAAGTAGGAAGACAAAGCTGACTGCAGGAACAATATGATATGTTAAATAATAACTGTGATTCACTGTTTTTAACATATGTTACCCTGTATGTATTAACTCTTTTTATATATTAACATAGTTTTTTAGTCTCCTATAACAGAGACTCAGTGGCTATATTTTGAGGGGCCAGTAGGTGCTCTTCAGTGTACCAGAAATTCATTTGGTAGTAATGCTATTGCCTTAAAACTAAAACTATCTTCAAGGAAACCAGAGAGTTTTAGTAAGGAAAACAAAAAGATATTTAATTTCCACAGTGTTGCAAATGGGGACCAATCGAGGAAGATTCCAAAAGAAGGGCAAAGTTGCATGTACCTGGTCAGCAGGGCAGACAGTGACATCAACAGTCATGGAGGATAATCAAGGAAATGTCTTAAATGTTTTAATGTTGAAATATTTTGATGTTTGCCTCCTTAAGCATCATATTTGGGGGAAAGGTGGCATATAAATGTTTAAAATAAATGAAACGACAGTTTTGGACGTATTGAGGGAGTGAACAAACGTGGACAAGGGGGACCCAATTGATGATGTTTACCTTGACTTCCAGAAAGCTTTTGATAAAGTTCCTCATCAAAGGCTCCTAAGTAAGCGCAATAGTCATGGGATAAAAGGACAAGTCCTTTTGTGGATCAAAAACTGATTAATTAATAGGAACCAGAGAGTGAGTATAAATGGGCAATTTTCTCAGTGGCAGGTGGTAAGCAATGGGGTACTGCAGGGATCAGTACTGGGTCCGATGTTTTTTAACTTGTTCATTAATGATTTGGAGTAGGGAGTAAGCAGTGAAATGGCTAAATTTGCAGATGACATGAAGTTATTCAGGGTGGTGAGAACCAGGGAGGATTGTGAGGCACTTCAAAGGAATCTGTCGAAGATGGGTGAATGGGCGACAATGTAGCAAATGGGGTTCAATGTGGCCAAGTACAAAGTGATGCACATTGGGGCCAAAAATTCTAACTATAAATACACATTGATGGGGACTGAACTGGCAGAGACTGACCAAGAGAGAGATCTTGGAGTCATAGTAGATAACGCACTGAAAATGTACAACTGCAATAAAAAAGGCCAATGCTATGCTGGGGATTATTAGGAAGGGAATTGAAAAATCAGCCAGTATCATATTAAGGTAAAGGTTTCCTTGCTCGAAAGCCAGTCGAATCCAACTCTAGGGTTGCGGTGCTCATCTCCGTTTCAAAGCTGAACATGCGGCAACCACGTTGCTGTCTAAATGCGAGTTTCATAAGACACACATTGACTTTTTGGGGTATTGGATCTCTGACAGGGATCTAGAGATGGACCCGGGGAAAGTTCGCGATGTGCTGGGGTGGGGGGTACCCCACACCCGACGCCAGCTCCAATCCTTTCTCGGATTCATGAACTTTTACAGAAACTTTTTGCCCAATTTTGCACAGGTCAGCTTTCCCTGACAGACTTATTAAAGACTAAGGGGAAGGGGCTG